TTATTCATTGAGTTCATTTTGGTATGGTAATTTGTTGGTCCAGTATAATGTAGGGGAAGAAAAAACTTTCCTCTACCCTCAAGTTTCTTTTGGCTGGTTTAATAATCAAGTAGACATTGACAAGAGATAGAGTGTCAAGAGAAAATAATCAAATTTAATTGCATACCTGGGAAGAGTCCGAGACCCTACATGCATGCGAGGGCCAGAGGCAGAGGGAAATGGAGGTATACGTGGCATTCTGAACTAAGGGTGAGGTGATGATGCACTTGAGGGTTCAGAAGTAACTGCAGGAAGAACACATGTTCAGTATTTATTAGTTGCCCCACCATATAAGTAGGTTAAAAAGTCATTTCTGGCTTTAACTTTTATCATGGGCCAGGTTCATATTTTAAATTATTCTTGTTAAAGGAGGAGCAGAAGCTCCTCTTGAGCCCACGGGGTCTCATTTGCCTTCAGCTCACAATAATCTGCGTAACACTGGGGCACAGCTCCAGGTGGCTCATTCTGACCCCTACAATAAATAGGTGACAAAGTAGGAATTACCTTGATTGCACCCTTTTAGGCCTTAGAGTGAGAAAATGCTGGTCTAATATTTTAGAGATTATAAATTCAACAATAAAAAATATTTTCTTCATTAAATATAAGAAATTGTGATAGGATTATATTCATTCATTGTTCCCTCTGAATGTCTATCAGAGCTAGATACTCAGTAATTCCAAAAAAGAAAAAAAATAACATGTATATTACACATGACAAAATCACTGCAGTGAGAATGAGATTTGAGAGTTCGATGAAGGATTTGTTCAGGAGGAGTCAGTCACTTCCACTTGTTTATGATACAATTATACAGTCGATGGTAAAATAAAAACATTCTCCTGCAAATTCCTTCACAGAAAAGTCTTTTGAGCAATATTTCCCTGAGATTATTAGAGACTGACCAGCAAAACAGGTATTCCACCCAATTGCAAAATGATACAAAGAACTTGGGCAATAGAAATGTGCTGTTGTTGGTATTTCCATCAGAAGTTGCCTGAGAACCTTCCCTCGATTTCCATTCAACAGCTTTACAGGGATTTCTTCTCTGTTCTTATTCGTGCTGGTTCACGAAGCAGTGAAAAACGTCTGCCATTTTAAGTCACATATGAATAGAAATTTGAGTTCAAAAATATTATAATATTTTATCTGAGAAAAATGAAATCTGCCTGGATGCTGAACTTGACGTGGAAGATCAGAGCTCCGGGATTCAACTCAGTTTTCTGAGACTGATAAACTCAATTACCCATTTACACACACATAGCTAAGGAAACCTGTTAATAGCAGGGTTGTTTTTTTTTTTATAATAAGCAATATAAGATATTTATATCACATTAAAAGGTGCATATGCTATGAATCAAATAAACATGAGTTGGAATTTTTGGTTACTACCCTCTGGATGATGCCACCTTTGGTATGCATTTTACTTCTTTTGGACTTTCTTATCTATTGCTAAAATAGTTACACTGCTTCCTCTAAGGATGAAAAAACATAAAGCAGTGTGTGTAGTGCCTGCTAAAGGATATATCCTCCCTCAGGGCAGAAATCTGATTTCTTTCCTTCATGTCTGTGTTCCAACACAGAGAGCAGTGCCTAGCAGGGAGTTAGAAGCATTTATCAAGACTGCCTGGAGGGTTCCCCTGGGAAATTTAAGAACTGGATCCTTCCAGTAGTGCTTTAGACCTGTGATATAAAGATACTCCAAAGCATAATCCTGCTGATGCTGCATTTAAACAAAATAAACCAGAGAGTTGCCACTTGAATAAAACAGATCCTCACAGAGGCCTCAGACTACTGCTCTCAGGCCAGCAGTGCCAAGCTGAGTCAAATGTAACCGTACTGTTTGAATTGACCTATTAATCTGCCACCTGAGAGATGGGAGATGGGTTTAGGTGAAAGTCTGTCCTAAACTATCTAGGCTTATCATAAAAGTTTTTGTTTTGTTTGTTTATTAATCCTCACCTGAGGATATTTTTCCATTGATTTTCTAGGTAGAGTGGAAAGGAGGGAGGGAGATAGAGAGGAAGAGAGAGAGACACCAATGTGAGAGAGACACATTGACTGCCCCCCACATGACCCCAGCCAGGGTGTGGATTGAACCTGCAACCCAGGTACATGCCCATGACCGGGATCAAGCAGATGGTCCTTCAGTCAGCTGGCCAATGTGCTAACCCTGAGCCAAACTGGCCAGGACTATTATAAAACTTTATTGTCCATCCCCAGTCTTCTTACATGAATAAGGCATAAACATAGCTGAGATTCTGTGAGGGTGAACACACCAGAACTTCAGCTTTGTGGTTCATAGGCCTATCTTCATAAGAAATGAATACATGCTGTCACCCAAGTGCTTTCCACCCTAACACACAAATATGTCCAGTAAATATTTGTTGAATGAATAAATGGTAGGGTAAGTCATGATTAATATTATACTTCTACTATTATTATTATCTTCATGTCTTTACCAGTAAAGAAGGAAATGAATGTTGTATACTACACTATATATCCATAAATTTTTAAAAAAATTTTAGAAATAATGAACACTGTGGAAATGAATAATGATCAGAATCATATTTTAATTTTCTTAGCAAATTTTGACCTAGATTAATGTATAATAATGGAAATTTTTGAAATTTATTCAAAAAAATTTAATACCAGAACAAGATGAATGGGCTTGAGATTTTATTAAATTGCGAGGACAGTTATTAAACATTGAACTGCACTGCTAACATTGAGGACGTGGCAGATTACGTGTAAGGGAGGCATTATAACTTTGATAGAAGCCTCCCTGGAAAAGTAGTGCTTGATTACAGTTAACATCCATTTCTCTTAGAAAACTTTAGTAGGCACAGAATAAACCTCAACTACATGGTCTACATGTTCCAGTATGGTTCTGCTCATGCGAAGTTCAAAGCACAGTCCAGGCTGGGAACGGGAAGTTTGTCATCAATGGAAAGTCCATTTGTATCTTCTAAAAGTGAGATCTCACCAACATCAAATGGAATGATGCTGGTATTGGATATGTTGTGGAGTCCACCAGTGTCTTCATCACCTTGGAGAAGGCTGGGGCTCACTTGAAAGGTGGAGCCAAGAGTGTCATCCTCTCTGCCCCTTCTTCAGATGTCCCCATGTTTGTGATGGATGTGACAAGTATGGCAACTTCCTCAAGACTGTCAGCAATGCCTCCTGTACCACCAACTGCTTGGCTCCCCCTGGCCAAGGTCATCCAGGACAACTTTGGCATCGTAGAGGGACTCATGATCATAGTCCATGTCATCACTGCCACCCAGAAGACTGTGGATGGCCCCTCTGGGAAGCTGTGGTGTGTTGGCTGAGGGGCTTCCCAGAACATCATCCCTGCTTCTATTGGCACTGCCAAGGATGTGGGCAAGGATATCCCTGAGCTGAATGGGAAGCTCACAGACATGGCCTTCCATGTCCCCACCCCCAATTGTCAGCTGTGGATCTAACATGTCACCTAGAGAAAGCTGCCAAATACAATGACATCAAGCAGGTAGTGAAGCAGGCGTGAGAGGCCCCCTTAAGGTATCCTGGACTATACTGAGAACCAAGTTTTCTGCTGCAACTTTAATAGTGACACCTAATCCTCCACCTTCAATGCTGGGGCTGGCACTGCCCTCAGTGATCACTTTGTCAACCTAGTTTTCTCAATGACAATGAATTTGGCTACAGCAACAGGGTCGCGGACCTTATGGTTCACATGTCTTCCAAGGAGCAAGAGCCCCCTGGACCACCAGTCCTAGTAAGAGGAACAGAGGCATTCAGCTGCTAGGGAGTACTTGCCCCAAATCTGTCTCCCAACACACCGAGAATCTCCTGATCTCCACAGTTTCCATCCCAGACCCCCTGAAGAAAGGAGGGGCTTAAGGAGTCCTACCTTGTCATGCACCATCAATAAAGTTCATTGTACCCAGCCCAAAAACAGAAAAATAGAACAAACATACTGTTTGCTTTATATATTAACTGAGATAAAAAAAAAAAAAAAAGACAACACTGCCCTGGCCAGTTTGGCTCAGCGGTTAGAGCGTCAGCCTGCGGTTCGGAGAGACCCGGGTTCGGTTCCCGCTAAGGGCACGTACCTCGGTTGCAGTTTGTCCCCGGCCCTGGTTGGTCGTGCGGGTGGCAGCCACTCGATGTGTCCCTTTCACATCTCTCCCTCTCTCTCTCTCTTCCTCTCTCTCCCTCCCACTCTATCTGTACAAAAAATGGAAAAATGTCCTCAGGTGAGGATTAAAAAAAAAAAAGACAACACTGCAAATTAGATACTAGAGAAGAGTTACAAAGATAAAGAGTACCATATAAAGGCATTTGTTATACCATAAGAATACAATTGCAAACCTTCTTAAATACAAAAAATAATAATAATTTTAACTTTAAGCTGAGACACACTAATTAAAAACCAGAGTGAAAAACATTTAATATAAAATATTTGTATGTTAGATATAGTGTTATAGTATGCAACTGTTTTGTAAGACAGTTGGAGGGATACAAATACATACAAAAATTAAAACTAAAAAATAAAATAACAAACATTAAACCATAATTATAAAAAATGTTTAAATATAAGGGGAGGGAAGGAATAGCAAAGAGAATACAGGCCAGATACATTTTTTTGTAGATTTTACTTCTGGAATTACATAAATATTTTAAATAATTATAAACTAAAATTAAATTTTAAAATATTATCCTTAAAAAATAGAAAATAAATCTAAAAGAAGTCAAAATACAAGGTTATATTTCACCACGAGAGTTTATTTTATATTTGCTAACAACTCAAGATGTGAACCTGACGTTTACAAAAATAAAGTCTAATAGCTGGGCTCCAAATAAACGTGTTTGGTTCTTGACTTCTTCCTCCACATCTAACAAACGCAGGAAAACACATCTTAAGTGAAATGAGTCCATTCAAGGGAATGTAACTCATTATCTTTTCTTTTTCATTTCTCCAGGAAAATAAAGGAAAGTCTGGAGTGTTTCCCTGTGAAACTGAATAACTTGGTCCACACACTTGCACAGATGACAACCATCGGTCCTGCCAAATCTACTTCACAGAGCTGTCCCCAGGAATCCTGTATGCTGAGTGTGACCAGGTCAATTCAAAGAGCAACAATTTTAAGGTTCAGCAAGAAAACTAGCACTGTACGTCTCAAGTGTGTCATCTTGACTTAAATATCATTTGATTTCATCTCAGACTCCCCTTCACTATGCTGCACATCCTTCCTTAAACCAGCATTTTTTTTTTTTTTTTTTTTTTACTATGCAAATGAAAAGCAGTTACAGTTTGAGCACAAGTGCCACTAAGGAGGATATTCTAAGGACAAATCATAACGACCGGAGCTATTAGAAGAGAACCATCAAAGAGAACAGATCCTGCCTGCGGTAGAATATAAAACAAGAGCTAATTAAAGTGTCCACAAGAGGAGCAGAAATTAGGCAGTCTGTTCCCAGCACATTAGACTGTGATATTATGATACCCGTGTTTGTATGTAATTTTGCCATTACAAATTGCATCTCTTAACTTTTGTGATGATTTTTTCTCACAAAGGTTCTTGCTTTGTTCAGTTACATGAAATCAGATTTTAGAAGGCATCACAGGTTAATATTGCTGTCTCTTGATTTTTGTCTATTTTCTGCAGCTGTATCTAATCCAGGTGACACAGAGTAACAACGAAACGTGCCTGACAGAAAAATCCTTTGAACAGTTTTCAAAACTTCACAGCCAGCTTCAGAAGCAGTTTGCATCACTGACTCTCCCAGAGTAAGTGGCTGTCCTACACAGTGTGTGCCGTTAGCACTTGTCCTTGAACATAAGGGAAAATTATGGTTATGAGACTTTCTATTTGTGAGCAACACAGCAGAGAACCTGTATTGCTCTTAGAGTGAAAAAACGTGTCTCATAAAACAGAACAAGGTATTCAGTTTTCTGTTTGCTTCCATACATTGACTTTGTAGACTAAAAAATTGAGAACCAATTACATTGTTAATCAGTTATTAGGAAAATCATTATATTTGCCTGTTTTAAAATTTAATCTTTTGAGGTTTTTCTATAAAAATAAAATAAAATTGAAAATTCAGAACTAAATTGAATAGATCTACCCTTACAATAAGTAACTGCAGTATATAGCTCTGATATATTTATTTGCTGCTCCAGGAAAAAATTAATATAGTAAAAATTTACATAGTAAATATAATATAGTAAAATTTATTAAAATGAACTCATTTTTGTTATTATTAATTATTGATTCACACTAAATTTAATTTGTTGATGTGTTCATTTTAATGCAACCTTTAAAACTATTGCTTCTGTTCATGTTTTATTGAAAAAAATAGTAAATGTAAGCAAACTAAAAATATAATAAAAATAACTTCTGTTTCTACAGTCTTTCTAAGAGTTATTAGTTAGAATTAACCAAATTTAGGTCACAGACTTCAGTATATAACAAAGGTGTATCATGACTTCAAAAAGATGCACTTCCAAAAATTATGATATTGGCACTTCGGTAAACCAAATGTAATTTTATCTATACTGGGATTTTTTAAGTAAATGGTCCTTTAACAATGTAAATGTTCATACCTGACCTGACAGACTTTGTGCACATGGATTTTCAGTTTAATCAGTTTTCAAAATATAAAGCTAAGCAAAGATATCAATGGATAGAGAGATATTGTGCAATATTGACGATTGAGTAGTTCACATTTATGAAAAAACTGTACTTGCAGATGTCACAGAAATTTTGAAATATAAGTGCTTTAAATATCAGGAAATCAACCAAATAAGAGTAAGAGCTCATTCAAGAGACTGGGAGGAAAAGAGTGTGGTTGTGGAAACTTGTAAAAATAACATTAGCTTTAAGAATTAACACTCATTCCAAAAATCTGACAGAATAACCGAGAAGAAGAGATGCTGACAAAATTTCAGATTGGCTGCCTATATAGAATTCAACATCAGTGGCTGCCATCATACCTTACTAAGAAATGATTTAGAAGTATTAGTTAATTCATGTTAAAGAGCTGTCCTTTTTGGTTTCAAAAACTACTCTACACTTTTATCTCTCCGATACATGTAAAACCTTAAAAATGCTAATAATCTCTCTATAAATACCTCTTTTTGATTTTCAGCTTCAGTTAGAATTTTGCTTTGCTCAACAACTACTGCCTGGTAATGGTACCTGAACTGATTTTAAAACTAGTCAAGCAAGTGTGGAGGGGAGGAACATTTAGTCCTGTGTGCCCTGAACGATATTTCTACGCTAACAGTCCCAAAGGAGCTATCGCTTACAGCAATGCATAGAAGTTAAGGATGAGGGCAAGATTTCCTCCGACTTCTAAATTCACTAAGAGAAGTCCTACAAGAATTAAGTAAACCTGACCTAGAAAGTATGATGAGGAAGTTAGAATCATAAAGAATAAATTTCAAATCACTCACAGCATGTAACAGTGGTCTTCACATTGGGCTATTTGTACCTCTGGGCACCTTCCAAGAGTCCACAGTCTTGGAAATCTTTCTCAAAAGTAATGGTCTTGCTCGGCCAGTGTGGCTCAGTGGTTGAGCATCGACCCGTGCACCAAGAGGTTGCCGGTTCAATTCCCGGTCGGGGCACATGCCCAGGTTGTGGACCAAATAAATCCCTAGTGGGGAGCAAGCAGGAGGCAGCCAGTCGATGTTCTCTCTCATCGATATTTCTATCTCTCTCTCCATCTTCTTCTCTCTCTCTCTCTCAAATCAATAAAGAAAAAGTAATGATCTTCTTTCAAATTAACCTGCTGGAGAAGGGCTGATTTCCTTTCCCTCTTCTGCTTTCACCAGTCATTCAAAATCTTATTTTCATACATTGTCCTGTGGAGTAAAAAAAAAAAAACTCTAAGGGTCAAATAAACGGCAAATCAAAATGCTGATGTTTGTAGTGAGAAAATAAATTATTCTAATAACCAGGAATCAAAACTGCTTACAAGTCAAGTGTTTTCTAATCTTTGGTCTGAACAAAATTAAGGGAAGAAAATATGTCACTATCAGATAAAAGGTCATAAAAATCATATTTAAGAACTGAATTTTATGTTATATTTAGCAAATAACTGAAAAGGATCATAACTGAATGACATAGCTATGGTTGAATTTCTCAATTCTCAGGTCTTTATATACAAGATTTTTTTTAGTGCATGCATTTATAAAATATCAACCAAAGAATAGAATTGATGCTGAATTCCATTTTATTCTATCAATAAGGAAAACTCATCCACAGACATAGAAATTATTATTATTTAAAACCAGCCCAATATATCTATTTATCAAATGCATTTTTATGACTATTTGTGTATGGTACTAATTTTCAGAACTAAATCAGTACAAACATGTTTAATACTTTAAGCTTCAGATCTCCAAGTGACCTTTTAAAAAATAAAATATTTTTTAAATACACAAACGTGTTGTTTTGACTTTCCTGGCATTTCCAAGAAGAAGCAGCGGATGGGATGACCTCAGATGTCATATCCTTCCCTGTGTTTGTTGACAATGCTTCACTATCCCCCATTCTCCTTTCCCCAAGAAAAGGTCTTTATCAAAGAAGCAGAATTCGGAAGGAGACAGAGCAAGACCGCAACCAGAGGAAACTTCTAGATAGTTCCTAAAATTATGTATTTAATCTGAAAAATTAATTGCCAAATGCTAGCCATTAACAAGTCATCCCATCCAATAATTGGTCTTAAACATATCTAACTCATGGAGATAAGTCATCAGATAGTAGGGAGGAAATTGTGCAAGTCAGACTCCTGGGAAAACTGATACTTGGTTCCAAAAGACTCAGAGCAGATGGAAGCAGATGGCACTTGGTAAAGAGTTTAATTTAGTTAGTCTATCAATGTCTCTAGTGAATCTAGAAGAAATAGTGATCTGACTTTATTTGAAAAATTATGAGTCATTAACTTCAGAAAATATTAATTAAGCCCCAGACGTATTTAAGGGACAAAATGTGTGGTCTGCCATAAATACAGTAAGAAGAAACATGTATATTAGATTAGTATGCTAAATTAAATTAATATTAATATTAGTGACAATTAAAATAGCACAAGTAACCACAGCCACGTTAATGAAACTCTCAGCATTAACCATGTGTTCCGTGGTGTGCATTTTTTATGTTTTCATTGGCCTTTTCACCCAATGCAGCTATACCTTCACAAACAATCCTAAAATGAAGAGGTCAATTTTCAAACTAATGAATGTATACTTTTTCTTTTAAAACAGGTTTCCTCATTGGTGGCACTTACCTTTTACAGATTCAGATCACAAAAGATTCCGAGATCTAAATCATTACATGGAGCAGATATTAACTGGATCGTATGAGGTTGCAAACGTATGTTACAATTTACTTTTATACTTTTAGATAAAATATCAGCTGTTATTAGCAATATTTTATTATACTTTATGATAATATTCTATTAGTTCCACAGTCATTCAACAAACATGCATGTCTAATAGGAGGAAAATCTCTGGACAAGAAACTGTGGAACAACAAAGAGGTGTAGCACCTTGCCCTCAAATAGCTTGAAGTAATATGCGATTAGCGGACTGTCAGCGCTACTGGGTGGCCTAGCATTCTAGAGAATCAAGAATTTCTTTCTTTTCTTTTTTTAATTGGATTTATTAGGGCGATATTGGTCAATAAAATTATATAGGTTTCAAGTGTACAATTCTACAATACATCATCTGTACATTGCATTGTGCCCTCACCATCCAAAGTCTAGTCTCCTTCCCTCACTATTTGCCCCTCCTTTATCCTCTCCTACCTCCCCTACCCCTTCCCCCTGGTACTCATCATGCTGTTGTCTATGAGGCTTTTTTTTTTTTTTTTTTTTTGCTTAATCCCTTCATTTTTTTCACTCAGCTTCCCTTCCCCCTCCCCTCTGACAGCTGTCAGTCTGTTCTCTGTATCTAACAAAGAATTACTTCTAACTGGAATAATGAGGTTTCAGGGGAAAGAGAGGATCTGACCTGCCTCTTTAACAGCAGGCAGTATTTAAAAGAGATGGCCTTGGGAAGTGTTTCCCTAGGAAATAGGAAAGGTCATAAGTGAGGGAAAAAAGAAAAGGATTGCATAAGATTCTACTGCTGCTATGACAAATTCCACAAACTTGGTAGTTTAAAACAACACATATCCATTTATTTTTTATTCTTAAGGTCGAAGTCTGAAAATGGGTCTTATGGGACTAAACTCGGGTTAGAGGACTGGTTCTTTCTGCAGACACTAGAAAAAAATGTCCATTTCTTGGCTTTTCAACTTCTAGAGACTGCCTCATTCCTCGACTTGTACCCTGTCCGACAATTCTGAGCTCTGCTTCTGCTATCACATCTCCTTTGGCTAGCTCTGACCCTCATTGTGATAATCCAGGATGATTTCACCATTTCAAGATTCTTAATTTAATTTTAACTGCAAAGTGCCTTTTGTCATGTAAGGTAACATATTCACAGGTTCTGGGGAGCAGGCTGTGGACATCTTTGGGGATCGTTATCCTATCACAGGGATATAGAGAGAAGTACAAGGATACAATTCAGCTAAATCTCAGCATTCTTGTGAGGAAGCTGTGAGAGGAAGGAGAACACCAGCAAGGACATCAAAGCCAGGTTGTCAGGAGCTGAAGCTGAACCTCAGAGAGTAGCGAGGAACTAAAGACAGTAAGAGAAATTACAGTGTTTCTCATCACTCTGAGAGAGTCTGAACCTCCTTTTTGGACTGGGACTATGTTCTTTGTATTTTGGGGGCAAAAATATATATATACCATATATCTAGAATAATCTACAACAGAAAGTTGGACAATTCAAGGACTCATGATGATGGGAACACCTATGTGACGATGTAGTAGTTTCAAATAGGTGTGAAAATTATGCCCCACCCTCCTGTCAATAAAAGGAGTTTATGTCCCCCATTTTGAACCCAAGAGGACCTTTGCAATTTTCTCATTAAATAGAATTTGATGGAAGTGATGCTTCTTAGCTTTCAAGTAAGTTTAGAAAAGGTCACAGAGCTTCTGCCAGTTTCTCTTGTGATACTCACTATGGGAGCCTTCAGCTGCCATGTAAGAAATTGAGCTAGCTGGAGTCTGCCAGATGGAGAAACAGAAGAGAGAGATCAAATAAAAAGGTGTCCAAGAAACACAGCTGCAGCAAGCATCAACCTCAAAGTCTTATGAGTAAATAACTCCAACCTTAACAGCCAAATGGCTACCACATTAGAAACATCAAGCAAACACCCTATGTAAACCTAGTCAAACCCAAGAACTGAGAGACTATAACAAAATGGTTGTTGTTTAAACCATCAATGCAGTGATGGCTGCCTATATTTTCATTGTTATGTAGCATTCTATTATATTAGTATATTACAGTTCATTTGCACATTCCTGTCTGCATACACATTTGTAATGTTTCCAAGTTGGGGTTAGTACAAATAATGCTGTGATGAACATTTTTTTACATGTATGTCTCCCAGCGCATACATGTTGGTCATATACTTAGGAGTAGAATTTCTTGATTGTAGGATATGCTTATTTTTCAATATTTATAGATAATGATCAATTTACTCCCCCACTTGCAATGAGTGAGTGTTCCAATTTTCCACTACTTTGTTTCCACTTGGTGTTGTCAGTTTTTTAATTTGGGCCATTTTGGTGAGTGTGCATCTCATTTTGTTTTTAGTATGTATTTTTGTAACTACTAATGATATTGGACACCTTTTCATATGTTCTTAGGTTATGTAGATATCATCTTTGGTAAAGTTCCAGTTCATGTCTCTTGTCCTTTTTCTACTGAATTAGTTGATGTTATTTTATTTATTGATAGTATTTTTTCATACATTCTTAATAGAAGTCCTTTGTTAGTTAAATGTGTTGCAACAATTTTTTTTTACTCTGTGTCTTGTGCCTTTGTTCTCTTTATTATGTCTTCTGGTGAACAGAAATTCTTAATTTTAAAGTAGTAAAATGTATCTGTATTTTCCTGTATGTTTATATTTTTTATTCGTCTTTTATCCCCCGTATGTTTAGAACATACAATATCTTGTATCATAAGTGCAGTTTCCTATATTATTTTCTAGAAGCTCTATTGTTTTTCTTCTTTCACATTTATATCTACAATCTATCTGAAATAGACTTTAGTGTATGGTGTGAAATAAGAATCACTTTATTTTTTTCCATGTAGATTTTGAATTGTTCCGATGCTAAAGACTTCCCTCTTCTCACTGTTCTGCAGTACCATGTTTATAATAATTTAAATATTTATCTAAGTATGTGTCCACTTCAGAGCTGTATATTCTATACCAATAATCTTCGTGTCTATCCTTGTGCAGTCTTAATTATTGTAGCTTTATAATACGTCTTGGTATCTAAAAGATTAAATCTTCCTATTTTATTCTTATTCTTCAGTACTTAGTATTTTGGCTTTTCCTAAACTTTCACATTTGCATATAAATTTTAAAATTGTCTTCTTAACTTCATGCAAAAACCCACTGGGATATTGTTTGAAATTTCATCTTAATATCTTCCAATCAATTATAATGTAACTATTTCAAGCTAAAAAAAAATGAATAGGTTTATTGCTTTGTGCACATGTCCTTAAATTGTTATACCAGATATCTTACAGTACCTATTTGATATAAATTTTCTATTTTCATCAGTATTAAGATACAACTGATTTTGTATATTGACATTTTACCTAACAACCTTACTAACTTCACTTTTAATTACATTAATTTATATTATTATTTTTTATTTCCCACTTACAATCATATTGTCTACAAATAACAAGAGTCTTGTTACTTTTTTTATATTTATATATCATATTTCTTTTTCTTGCTATTTTGTATTCTCTAGGGTCTCCAATATATATTGAATTGAAAAGGTGATAGTGGACATGCTGTGTTACTCAACTATCTAATATTTAGAAGTATCTAATATTACCTCATTAACTATGTGAGTTTTTGTACGTCCCTTTATTATTTTATGGACGTTTCCTTCTATACCTAGCTTGCCAATATTTCTACAATAAAGAAGGTTTATAAATAAAATGTTTTTTTTCCTGAATATATTAGTCTGATCAACAATTATCCAATAACCAATAGTTTTTCTCCTTTATTCTGTTAATGTGATAAATTGCATTGATGGATAATCTAATTCTAAACAAATTTTCATTACTAGGATAAACTCCACATGGTTGCTATGTATATTATCTTTTTTATGTGTTGCTGTATTTGATTCAACATTTTCTTTCTATTTGTTTTCAACTTTGTTTATGAAGACAGAGATGGCCTAAAGTTTTTCCATGTTATAATGTCTCTACCGGGAATGAGAATCAAGAATATGTTGGCCTCAGAATACTATTTGTTGCAAAGTATTCTTGCTTTTTTTTTTCCTTCTCTATGGAAGAATTTATATTAAATTGGTTTTATATCCTTAATTTGTAAAGCCATGTAGGTCTGGAGATTTAATTTATTTAAGAGTCATAGGACAATTCACATTTTCTACTGTTTGAGGGTGTCTATTTTTTAAGTTACAGTTCTCTAGGAATTTTTGCTACTTTATTGGCATAAAGTCATTCCCAGTGTTCTCTCATAATCTTTTTAACATTTATAGGATCTGAAGAGATGCCCAATCTTTCATTATTCACATGTCATTTCCTAATCAGTCTTGTCAGAGGATTATGAATTTCACTAATCTTTGCCAAGAATACAATGTGGGATTTATTGACCTTCTTTAATATATTATTTTTACCTTTCAGTTTTTATCATTATTATTTCCTTTTTTCTGCTTCCTTTGGTTATATTTTGTTATTCTATTTATAACATCCTCAGAGAGTTACTTAAATTCTTTATTTTCAGCCTAGACATTTGGCCTCCAATATAGTAGATACTCAGGTAACCTATTATATCAATGATCTTTAGCAAATATGTACTCAAGAACATTGTGCTCTGATATTACTTCCAGGTTGGTAGACTCTCAGCTAGAGATGCTGTTTTGAGCACTTAAAGGGACATAGTTAACTCAATTCTGAGTGAGGCAGAGAGGCATCCCAGACAGTATGGCATTAAGGTTGTTATTAAAGGGCAAACAGAAGTTAGTAAATAGAAATTGGGGCAAGTTGTGCTAGACAAGAGGAACTGTAAGGACAAAGCATCCGTCATGGTTATATACATTCCTCTTGTACTGTAGCTTAAATAACTCAGTGACTATATTCATTCAAATTTTACCCTTGTAGCCCAGCTGGTGTGGCTCAGTGGTTGAGCATCGACCCACAGACCAAGAGGTCACCAGTTCAATTCCAGGTCAGGGCATATGCCTGGGTTGCAGGCATGTGGGGAGTGCAGGA